CTCTCTCTCTCTCTCTCTCTCTCTCTCTCTCTCTCTCTCTCTCTCTCGCCTTGGTAATGTATGCAACAAGTTTCTATTCAGACATTAGTAACTATGAAAGCAGACACTTTTTAAGTACTGATTGATTGAAGGAATTAAAGGCCCTCATCAGGTTAGCTATTGTGGTGACAAGTAGAAGAATAGAAGAGTAGCGAAGCAGTCGAGGTGAGAATAGTGGTCAGTATCAGATTTTTAGATGAAAGAATGAGGGAGTAAACATGGGGATAGGGATAAGAGAAGGAAGTGAAAAAACAGGGTGGATACATGTGGGGGTTTGAGTTAATGACAAACTAAAAAGAAGAGAGAAAGATACTTTAAATATCACAACCCATGTCTGTCTCTAGGCTTTGGGGATGTAACAGTAAGAAAAATGGAAACAGAAACAAAAAGAAGGAAGAGAGAAAGAGAGAGGGGGAGGGAGGGAGGAAAGGAGGGGGGAGAGAGAGAGAGAGAGAGAGAGAGAGAGAGCAAACCTGAGGTAGGACAAAAATGTGAGTAACAGTGAAGTAGGTAAATTTTGTAAGACAGAGTTGGCCTACCTCACTGACCTACTGAGCTATATATGTAAGAAACTGCTGTTTGTAGCAGATCTGGGCCTAACTATAATACAAATGGCTAGCTTGAATGTTGTTTTCCTCTTCTTCGCAGTTTTGTTGGATTGTCTCACTATCCTGTTATGGGCAATGCTCTGAGTTGGTTGTTACTGCCCCTATTCTTCCTGTCAGCGTGGATTCCCCAGCTCCCTTTATGTGTAAAGAAGATTGCATGTGGTTGACTGTGAGAATGTGGGTAACACTGGAGAAAATGGAGCTGAAGAGAGTGGATTTGATGAAAAAGGCAGAGCAACACTACATGGTTTATTTAGTAAAGCATCCCTCATGTGATACATTTTTCCAGAGGACATGAGATAGCTGAGAGCAATGACAGGGCAATCATGTGATTACAGAAACAAACATAAGTACTCTTGCTTACTATTTAATTCTTCACAAACCGATTAGGTTGCTTTTCAAGATAAGAAATTTTGATAAAAGATAACTAGTAGGTTTATAGAAATATACATAATATTATATTATGTATATTTCTATAAACATAATAGAAAAACGTGCCACCCCATTTAAAAGCTTATATTCTTTAGTATCTTTGGGATTGATGATCTTTATTAAATAAGAATGAAGATTCATTAGTACCAATTTTGTTATAGCACAAAGACAATTATTCTTAGCCAAGTAACAGAAATGTACAGAATATCTTTATATCACACACATACATCAGTAGTAACATGATCTCCTCCCTTCTGTATATTCTATCAAATAATAAATGACTGACTGATTCTGTCTCATGTTTTATGCTACAGCTATTGTCTCTTTACCTTTTCTTTTACAATTAGGTGCCTATGGGATTAATTTAAATCAATGAAGAAAATGTAGGATAATCTCTTTAGCTTTAATCATTTGATGAACAACCTAAACACCATTTGCTACTTTAATTCTCTATTAATGCACAGTTGTGTATATTCAGTCTCTGGAAATTTGGGAGTTTACATTTTGAGTCCATATCATTTAAATCAGGTATATATTATTTCCTGAATTCCTTTAGCTAAGGCATAATATTGAACTTATTTTCATGTCCCATTAACAAAAAAATCTAACAATATAAAAGCAGTTCAAGGTTTCTTAGAAAACAGTTTTTTACACATTAAGAATAATCTAAAATTTTGTTACTTATATTTTCCAGATATGGCAATGAAACTCATCCTGTTATTGTTTGTTACTGTCTTTGTTCCTGTTGAGACTATCAAAGTATGTAAAGATTATATGTTACATAACTATATTTTACTTAAGGATACCCAACAACCCTGTGATGAATTCTAGAGGTATGAGAGGGGTGTATCAGTTATTTAAATGCTTCATATAATGATGCAGCTAAACAAGTCTTATTTTGTTTTATAAAAAGAATTATTTATTTGTTTTATGTATGACTACACTGTAGCTGTCTCCAGACACACCAGAAGAGAGCATCAGATTCTATTACATATGGTTGTTAGCTGCCATGTAGTTGCTGAGAATTGAACTCAGGACCTCTAGAAGATTAGTCAGTGCTCTTAACCGCTGAGCCATCTCTCCATCCCCAACAAGCCCTATTCTTAATACAGAAGAAGCAAGGATGCAACCAAAGAATAGAAGGCCCAACTGACGATCAAGTTTTGATGACTAGAATTGCTGAGGCTTAAAGTTTAAATTCCACTTTAACTCACTGGGCCCAAGTCTATGTCTTTTTTTTTTATAAACAATAAGAAAGAATAAATAAAAGAAGGCAGGCTAGCATGGAATGTGATAAAGGTGAGGAAGGATGCGGGGAGAAATCATAAAAGCATAGACAAGAACTTCTTTACAATTTACCAATGTGTTTTCATAACCAGATAGGAGAAAATAGACAAATATTGTTATTGTTACATTTCCTCCCACATAACCATGTCTTCATTTGAGCTATATTCTTTTTGATTTTAAGAATGTTATAATTTAAAATTAAATATGAAATTGAAAAGTTCAACTACAAAGATAGGTATGAGACTCAGCAATAGAATCAATGTATGATGCCTGGATCTGATTGTTCATAAAAATAAAACCTTTGGGGTAGTGATATAACTCAGTATTACAACACTTGCCTTGTACATATAATGCCCAGAATTCAATCCCTAGAATTACAAAATATGATAATGATGGTGATGATGATGGTGTTATTGATAATGATGACTTCAGTATTCATGGAAAAATACCAACATCTTCAGTGGTAAAATAGGTGGAGTGTCCTACCAGTTTGTGATCAGTGGATGATAATTTATCATTAGCAACCCAAATAAGACATGGAAAATTACATGGAGCTTAATTTTCTTTATCTAATAATTTATCTAATTATTGACTTAATGTCAATAGATTTTTTTGTAGAACTAGACTGTGTGTGTGTGTGTGTGTGTGTGTGTGTGTGGTTTCTCATGAGCCACGGGGAGACGTTTAAAACAGAAAAAAACAATCACATAATATTATTTTTATCAGCTACTGGAGTGATGGATTGGTGTTACTATGATATCCATGACTCAATGGTCATCTAAGAAGCTGAATATTGAATATTAAGCGTTATGGAAGGCTTCTTCAACTTTCCTTCTGATTCTTTGCTTGTTTTCCTCCTTCTCTGTGGAAGGACAACAAAAACTAGAGGTAACATAAAGTATAGACTGCATGACAAAGACAAAAAGAAAGGTGGGTAGTCAGAAACCCACATGTGCCTTTGTGACCTGGTAGTCTAGGTTACTTCAGTGGACTTGGAACACAAATATAAGAAGGTATGAGCACTACCAGAGTTCAGAAAAAAATTCACGAGGACCTAAGACTTGAGAGGTTTTCAGGCAGATATGTGGATATTAGACCATTATCAAATGGTTAAAGAAATCTGGGTGGACAAGATGAATTTACATAGGAGATTCAATTTTAATAAAAGTAAATGAAACAGAATATCAGAAAAATAGACATTCGCTTATTGTTTTATTATAGAGGTTGTAAATATTTGGAGATTAACAGAGAGGCAAATGTTATGTTTTTCATAAAAATAAAATGTTCAGAGGAGGAAGTCTGTAAATTCTTGTGAGTCTCCCATTTTTTCTTTAATGTAGACAAGAGCTGATTGCAGCAGCCTGTTAGCATGATCCTTTGAAAGGGGCTGGAGTCTGTAGAAGTTCCATTGGAATGTCTTCTCTTGACCTGAATGACTTCTGTTTGATCAAGACACTACTTTGGATTCTGACCATTCTTAAATTTATCTCAATAAACCAGAGGAAGCTAAGGAAGAAACATACATCACTCAAATTACACATTATCTTTGATAACTGATAAAAGAATCCTTGAGAACTAACTATATGTATTTATAAACCACACATATAAAAAGACCCTTTATGACAACTGATGTGAACACAGACTACTTTAGGAAACATTTTTTTTCTTCTTAATGAGTTATGAAGTAAAATGTATATAGTTTTTAAAAGGAGTCATACATTCAAAGCTGCATTCTGAGTTGGAATTTTACTTAACACTTTTTAACACACCCACTTGTTTTAAAAAATCTATTAGGGTTTTTAGATATAAACAAAAAAAAAGATATAATAAACCTGGAGTGTGAAAAGATCACTTAGCCATGTGCTCAAAATACACTTATGATGTTGGTTCTTACACACACACACACACACACATTTTGACAAGAACTCAAGTGTACCTTGTTTATTTAAAGAGTACAGGCATTGCTTTCAGCAATGGTATAGAGAATGAGCTAAGGGAGTGAGTCATTCAGTGAAGAGATGTCAAGCTATAGCCTCTGTGATTCCTATTGGCTAATAACAAGAAATTTTATATGACTCAAAGTATGAATCATAATTTTGAAATTTTCTAAGAATAGCATAATTTGTGTACTGTTTTCAACACAAGGATTTAGAAATACTTAAAACTTGAATACTAATAATTCCGGAATACCAAATATTATTGTTTGTTCACTGTAAGTTCTAATTTCACATTGTCTATAGATCTATATGTAATAGACTTCATGGGACAAGGGCCATTTCAAAGAAGTGATATTAATCAATAATTTTCTGATAGCCTCTCAAACTGCATAGAGCTCTCTATAATAAACTCATCACAGAATCACAAACTGAACCACAAGAGGAAATTGTCAATACACATAATGCCTTCAGGAGACAAGTGTCCCCGCCAGCCAAGAACATGCTGAAAATGGTAAGTTTAAAGCACAGTATTAGTGGAGATGCAAGGGACACTGGTGGCATTTCCTACATTGTGACTTAGTCCTATGAGCTGTGACTATGCCGATTGTTTGGTCATCACAACAAATCTATGACATAACAGCAGAAGAAACTGAGTCTAAGTGGATGTGAATAACTCATGTACATGACAGAGCAACAATTCTGACTCAGTCCCAAGTCAATCTTAGATGCCTTCAGACATGTGACATGTATTTGAGAATCAGGATGTCCAAATTCATAGCTAAAAAATTAGACAAATACTGAAAAAAAAACCTAGTAGTGGGTTTCATTGAACTATGTAGAAATTTAGGGATCTGGCTTTGACAGTGGAAAAACAGAGGGCTTCTACACAAGACAAACTTAGGGTCCTTGGCCAGCATCCTTGGGTAGTCAAGAGTGATGAAGTCCAGATAGCAATGAAGTCCCTAGAACAGTAGTTTTCAAACTATGGGTCTCAGCCCCTTTGGGGGTCACATAGCAGATATGCATTATGGTTTATAACAATAACAAAATTACAGTTATAAATTAGAAATAAATTAATTTTATGATTATCAGTCACCACAATAGGAGAGACTGTATGAAAGCATCACAGAATTAGGAAGGTTGAGAAATACTACCCTAGAAGGTGATCCTAATTGATAGTACACTGTTGTAAATTAAGAAGATGAAGCAACAAGGGAAAAAGAAATGTAGCTTCTGAAAAATTATCTCTGGACCACCTTAAAAATTAGCAGACCTTTATGATAATCTATGTTAAAAGCATCAGTTGTCATAGGTATCCATGTTTGTACTACTGTTAATAAATGTTCTTGAGCTAATAATACTGGTTCGTATTTAGATACTAGTATTCAGACAGACTCCCAGGATGAGGCAGAGGATCACCGGGTGTTCAAATTCAACCTAGGCTACATAGTGAGCGTCAAAAACTTATTCTTGTAACTTCTAAAAGTAATCTAGCTTATTTAAATTTGCACTACAATTGTCTCCATTTCAAGGTGTCTCAAGAATATGATCTTTTTTTTTTAATTTTAAATCCTTGATTCAAAAGTGACATCGACATGGACTCTGATCTTAATTATATTAAGGGTAATTTCCAAATTCCTTTCTGCCAGATGAACAAACACTATTTCTAGGAAGGCCTTCCTATTGAGAAGTCTTATTGTATACAGAAAGTAATTTTGGTCTTTTAAATTTTCTCAGTTAGACACACACATCAAAAAGTAATCTTTCTTACGCAAAAAACCCGAAACAAACCAAAACATGTTTTGGATGCTAAGTAAACTTAGAGAAGTAATTCTATAAGACAGCCACTAGATGGCAGCATACACTCATACAGAATTAATCGTTTTACAGCAATGAGAAAACTTGCCTTTAGTCTGAAGAGCGATAACAATAATATTAATGTTGCTTTCTACATTGTTATTAAGTTCAGTGAAATTAGTGTGTTCTAAAAATTTTGTTAAAACACCAAGTTTACAACACAGAAAAGGAGGAAATTGAGTCTAAAAGAGTTGCAATTGTCCATACATCCTTAGAGAATTTAAACAAAAATCTGCGAGTAAACCATGTAAATTCTATAATTGTGCTTGACAGTGTAGTACATAGGCTGTGAGGAGACTATGTTGATGCTGGTTGCAAGATGGCAAGGATTTCATCGCTACTCCCATGTAGGTATTTCTGAGTGGTTTATAAAACGATGCTTCAAGTGAGTACATACCACACTTAACCCACCCACATGAAGCGTTCAGGATACTGTAGATTAACTGATTCAAGCTCTCTGTTCTGTGACCCTTAAAAGCTTCACAACTCCCGTTTGGGGCTGGAGAGATGGCTCAGCAGGTAAGAACACTGGCTGCTTTTCCAAAAAAAATCAGGGTTCAATTTCCAACACTTGCATGGCAACTCACAACCATCTGTAAACTCCTGTTGCAGGGTATCTGACACACGCAAACAGACACACATGCAGGAAAAACACCAATGGACATTAACAAAAGATAGGATATTTAAAAAATGGTCACATGTAGAATAACATTGTTGTCCCCTTTGAGTTACTGCAAGAGCAGAAGAATATGGTTAGTAACAGCTTCTAGGGACATTAACTTCTTTGCTTTAATCATTATTTGAGGTAGGGATATATGACTCTGCTTGTATTCACAGAAGTCATTTGTATGCTGAGCACACATTCCGAGACTCAGAATATCACAGGTTTATTGTAAGGACTGCCCACTGAACAAAACTTTTGGCATAACTTTCATATTAACTTTACAGATGCTAGAACTCAAAGAGGTGAAAGGACAAGCCCAGGGCTTTCATGTTTGCATCTCTGTCGTCATGATAAAACACTAAGGGAACATAGAGGAGCGGGTTTATTAGGTCTATAATTCCAGATCACAATGCATTGTTGAGGAAAGTCAAGGCAAGGTCTAGAAGAGACCATAGAAGAATGCCTGTTACATGACTTCACCCGCCTGCTTTCTTATATCACCCAGAACCACATACAGTCACTGATCAAGAATATGTCCCCAAAGACATGTTCCCAAGTGAACATGATGAAGGCAGTTCCTCAGGAGCTGTTCTCTCTTTCCAGGTGACTCTATTATTTGTCAAGCTGCCAGCACAGATGTAAAACAACTGACAAGTTATTGGGTTAGCTTTCTCATTGTGATCTGTTTTCCCGAAAGCCTTAACTTAAAATTCTAAGAAATGAACTATGGTCTGAAGGTTATAACCTACTTTTGAATTTGTAATATGACAGGAAACTGAAATGAATTGCACACTTGTCTTCTTGTTCCTACTAGAATATTTAAGAAAAATGTATCCATGTAAAAGTTGAGTTTCCACGAGAAAAGATGTAATGAATCCCACACTTTTTTTTTCCTTACAAAAAGCAAGAGTATTAGGTTGTGAAAGCTAATTTCATTGTGTTTCTGGGTATTCTCTTGCCTTATAGAGTTGGAGTTCAGCTGCTGCAGAAAACGCTAGAATCTTGGCGAGGTACTGTGACAAGTCGTGCAGTGACTCACTTGAGAGGAGACTACCAAGTATGTATGGATCTGCAAGATTCAACTTTAATTAAATAGTTTTTCCAACACTGGAATGAGATGCCGGTGCGGGGGGACATTGATCAGTTTAAAGGGAGGAGGTTTACTTTTATGTCATGGTTTCAGAAAGTTAAGCACATGGTTTTGAGAGAGAACTGAGGCCACATAAATTGATTGAGGGTAAAGTGGACGAGGCTGTTCACCACAAATAAAAAAGAAGCAGGATAGAAAGAGAAAAAAAATAGGTAAAAAGTACATTCTTGACAACAATGCCTTCAAAGATCCAACTCTGTCAGATATGCTCCATTTCTCAAAGTGCCTAGAACCCATTCAGCCTCAGTATCCAGAGAACAATCCTTCAACAAGTGAGACCTTGTAGTTCGGTTTAGATAAAATTACTTTTAAACAAACAAAATTGGTAATGAGATGGGTGGTGGTGGTGCACGCCTGTAATCCCAGCACTTGGGAGGCAGAGGCAGGCGGATTTCTGAGGTCGAGGCCAGCCTGGTCTATAAAGTGAGTTCCAGGACAGCCAGGGCTGTACAGAGAAACCCTGTCTCAAAAAAACAACAACAACAAAAAAAAGTGGTAATGAATAAATTACACTGTCCCGTCCAGCAGGGCATTGAACAGGGGGGTCTGGGGAGATCACCTGAAAGAGAGCCTGAGTGAAACAGGAGAAGATCAGCTTGTCTATAGTCTGATCAAACTGCCGATTTTATTTTTTTCACACAGAGGTTATATACACAAAAAGGCAGGATGTGGAGAAGGGGATGATGCAGGAGCATAGGTGTTCAGGGGAGTACAGATATCTTTCAGAACAGGGTATTGACTGGGTGAAGTTTCAGGGGACAGGTCACTATGACTCCACCTATGATTCACTTTACCTTATCTAAGTTGGTACTATCCACCAAGGCTACACAAGGTCTATGACTATCCACAAGACCTATGACTACTTGTTCTTATCCAGGCTGGTAAATTTCCACCAAAGCTGCCTGTTTACAGTATCTTACAGCTATCTGTTTCAGAGTTTTTCCAGAGAAGCCCAAGATTTGCGTTAGCAGGCTGACTTAGGCCTATTGCTGCTTTTAGGCCTTCAGTGTACAAGCAAGGCTGCCCCTGACATTATACCCCAAAAAAGCATGCATACAAACAACTGGACAAGAGAAAGCTAGCAGATTTAATCAACACTGACCCTCACCTATCTTTGCTGATAAATGGCAACTTGATATTACTGTTTTTAATTTTTAAAAATTTGGATATTTTTAGTTTTATAGTCTAAGTACTCATCAACAGGAGGAAACCATGACCAGCAACACTAATGGATGGAGTACATCTGGAAATCTAGGAGGGTTCTCTTCAAAGCTATCTCAGTTTTCCTCAATTTCATAATGGGGGATTCCCTCAGTTTGGGGGCACTGAGGTATGAGGAAATATAGAACTACCTAGATAAACAATTCTGAGTGCTCAAAGGTAGGCTTCATTTTATTATATAAAATTAATAACTACAATCCAATTTTTAGTGCGTCCTACAAAATTACATAACCCTGTAAGAAATACTTTCTTTCAAACTAATTTTAAAAGATACAAATGCAACTTTATGCCTACAGATTATTGGTATTCTTATGCTATGGTGTTAAATAGTGGGGATATCTTTGTATTCTAGAGAAAGAAAGATCATTCCTCAATACCATATCCTACCTAAAGCATGTATGACAAATGAATCTAACATCTTTTGAAAATGTGTACTCTAGTAACTGCTTTCAACTCCAGAGCCTGCTCACTACCAGCTCCCACATGCTCATACAGACTTTGACCATTATCCTTGAGCTGCTAGGTTAAAGAGGTTGCGATATCTGCAGTCATGATTTCAAAACTTTTTCATCATCTGTCAGTGACATTTCTCACCTGACTTGACCACATGATCATTCAGCAAAATAGATACAAAAACGAGTTTATTTCCTGTTTTAAAATGATGCCTAGGTGATCATGAAAACATTTGTGAAATAAAAGGAGGAGAGCCAATGTATTCTAATTGTTAAAAATATTACACAGTCATTTTTCCTCATTTCAGATACATTTTGTGGAGAAAATATGTTTATGGAACATTATCCCTCTTCCTGGTCAAAAGTAATTGAAATCTGGTACAATGAGTCCAAATACTTCAAATATGGAGAATGGCCATCCACAGATGATGACATCGAAACTTGTCACTACACTCAGGTAATCTGTATCTTCCATGTATATATATATATATGTATATGTATATGTATATGTATATGTATATGTATATGTATATGTATATGTATATGTATATGTATATGT